CGCAAAGAAAACAATAATAACAATTTATTCAACAGTTCTTCTCCTCAAGTTACCACTCCGCCATTGTTGAGAGTAGGCTATCCCAGAACGTAATCAAAATCAGCATTGTTTTATTTTTGGGTGAACTAACCCAAGTGCAGTTGTGATAAAACATACTCAAGTTTATGCAGTGAAGTCTTGAGTCACCATTTGGAAAGTGTTGTTGTCAGTGTGGAACTTATATTTCTCAATCTCTTTTCTTATTTAATTCTAGACCAGACAGAGAAGAGAAGTGGTCCAAGAACTGAGCCCTGAGGCACCCCGGTAGCTAGTTGTTGCGACTTGGACACCTCACCTCTCCAAGTTACCTTGAAGGACCCATCTGAGAGGTAAGACTCAAACCACTGGCGTGTGGTTCCTGAGATGCTATTTTCCAATAGGGTATATTTTTTTCTATATAAAAAATATTATAATTCATTACAAGGTCATACAATGCTACTTTATATTTTCATATGTTATTAAAAACATATTAGATCTTACCTCACAGTTCAAGAAGCAGTATAACAATGCCACAATGAAACCCTTCAAAGAAATGCCATAATTAATATTTTGACATTTGTAGTAGCATAATGATACTTTAATGATACTTTATGGATTTCTTTTAGTAGGCTACTTGATTAGTAGCCTTGATTTTATATATATATATATACATATATTTGTTTTATATAAAGATAACACTATGTCAAGATACATAGCTTTTGTATTTCAAGTATATTTACAGTAGAGGGCAGAGTAAGGTTCAGTAGAAGCTATAATAACATCAAATGAGAGAAATACTAACAACAGAGTCATTTATGCTAATGATTCACCAGTAGCCACTGTCCAGGGCATCCCAGCACCTGCCAACACATATAAACATATCGTCGTTTGTGAAACACTCATGCACATAGATACCTTTATTGTTAGCTCCAGATCTTGTTACTGTGCTTCCCATATAGAGTTCTATCATGACAAATCTCTGAGAGTTTTTGCATGGTAATATACATGACAATGTTAATGTGTTTGGTCATGGTGGAATAGATCTGCTACGCTGCTGCTGCGGCAGAGCCAGTACTGAGATTTGCTACTGCCAATACATCCACAACATGCTGCTGTGAGCATCTTTACAATACTAACATTCTGCATCTAATAAAACCTTGATTTTGAAATGGTGACCTATATTTGTTAATACTGAAAATAAGCTTTTCTAAAACCTGCCAGCTCTATCACACAAGGGAGGTTAAATGAGTCTTTTATCAGCCCTATTTACTGCATGAGTGAACATAAATCACTTTTTCTGAGTTAAAAGATGGCATTACTTCTGAGGTATGCAAGTCCCTCCAGACCACAGATTTTTTGTAACTAAACATATTTTGAAATGGGTTGCAAACAATTATGATTTTAATGCAGTTTATTGTGCATTTTACAAGGTTTGTGAATTAACTGATTGTTTTTATTCTGTTTGGTGCAGATGGACCATGCCACCCCGTCCACCCATTTTTAAAGCCTGTCTTTTTCTCTGAGGAGCTGAGGTTGGTGTAGACCAGGGTTCCTCAAATCTTGCCCTGGAGGGCCAATGCGCTGCAGAGTTTAGCTCCAACCCTGATCAAACTCAGCTACCTGTGATTTTCTAATGATCCTGAAGACATTGATTAGCATGCTCAGGTGTGTTTGATTTGATTCCATTTTCACTGAAAAAAGTAAATGTAATAAGCCAAGAGGATATAAACTTCTGACCTTACAGAAGTCCTACAGTGTATGCCTATATGCCATAAGTTTGTTTTCTAACATTTTGTCTGGTATTTCTGGTATTTTCCATGCAAATTGTTTTCAGGTGCGTCTTGTTTTGCCATGTAGGTTCATTATAGTGCAGGGTTTCTCATTCCGGTTCTTCCAGGGGAACTTTTCTGTATTGTGTCTTTTCAATGTACATCAGTCAACAAATGAATGTCTGCAATTTTATTCAAAAATTACAGCCAGAAGCAGGAACTGAAGCCGCTGGAATGAGGAACCGTGTTATACCCTGAGAATATGTTTTGTCTGAAGAAGCAAGCCTCCTTAAAGGTCTTCTAGAAAGGTCTTCTGAAGCTATACCATATCTTTGATGGTACAGCCCATTTTCAGGGTGTACAGGGCCCTTCTCACCTCACATCATTATAGTGTCATTGTTACTTTAAACAAATATTATAATAGTTAGGTATTGGTTTCTTTCCATTATATTTACAATAATGATATTCTGCATCTAACAGAACCTTGAAATGAGCTGTTTGTGTGCGTGTGTGTGTGTGTGTGTGTGTGTGTGTGGAGGCTAAATTAGTCTTTTATCCAGCACAATTTACTGCATGAGAGAACGTAAATCACTTTTTTCTGAGTTAAAAGGATAACTACTTTTTTTTTTTGTAGTTGTAATTAAACATATTAAAAAGGGATTGATTATCAAACAATTATGGTTCTAATGCTGCTTATTATGATTATGCATTTGACTGGTTTTGTGAATTAAACGATTAATTTGACTCCTATTATGTGCACAGTAGTTTTGTTTATTCTTTATGGTGTAGATGGACCATGCCACCCAGTCCATCCATTTTTAAAGCCTGTCCTGGGGAGCTAAGGTTGGTATAGACAGAAAGCAGACAATATTGAAAGATAAATTCATACAATATTCAGAGATAAAAAGATGTGATGTGTGATGTGATAAAGAGATGTGTGATTATGCTTTGTTGTGTTTAGAAACTAAACACACACATACATATATATATATATATATATATATATATATATATATATATATATATACTTTCATGGACAAAGTCAAATACTCAAAATCAATTTAATTATTTATTGTGTTAAAGGCGTCATTGGATGCAAAATTCACTTTTACATGTTGTTTGAACTTAAATGTGTGTTGGCAGTGTGTGTACACATCCACCCTCTAATGATAAAAATCCATCCAGTGGCTTTTATTTAAAGGTTGGGTAAGTGATTTCTGGTAGCCAATGTTGATATTTCAAATCACCAAAACAAACACGCCCCTACCCCAAAAGGGTCTTGCCCCTATTTTGATAGCTCCACCCCACACATACGTACGCAACCCAGGCAACGATTATGGAGGAATCTGCTGTATTATTACCTGCTGTATTAAACATATTATCTTACTTTTCAGACCCACTTTGGGAGCTGACGCTTGAAACAGACAGTGGAGGAGGTTTAGACGCTCCAGGCATAGGGTTTGGAAATGAATGTGTCTTTATAATAGCTAAACAAACAAACAAGCGAACAGGACACAAGAGCATATTCAAGCAAGAGCCAGCATATATTAGTTCTGTGAAACAAAGCAAAACTAATGTTACTCACCTATAGAGAAGAAACAAAGCAACCTCGGCGTCTGATCGCAGGCCTTCCCGCTCCTTGAGTTCTATCCAGTGCTGGAAAGCTGATTCGAAATTTAAACAGGTCCTACTTCTTGCCTTATCGTAAGCCTTCTTGTGTTCCGCAGATGTTTTCCATCCAACATCTCTATCTTTCTGTCGTCTCTCGGCTCAGCTAATGTCCGTCCTCCTGTGCACTGAGCGCTCTCTCCTCCGCATCATGAGTAGACACTCCCCTTACTGCTGATTGGCTACAAGTTTGTTTTGGTACTCGGCACAACTCAGTTTTCTAAAGCGTTTTTGAAAAAATACCCCACCTTTAATCCCTAAAATTAAGATCCCCTTTTTCAAATCAAGCCATTCTCTGATACTTGGCTGTGTGACGTCACACAGGTTAAGGTCCCTCCCACGATTGTTGATTGACACAGCCGTCTTACCTTAGACCTGCCATGAGTGAGCTGTAACAGTCGACTGCCATTGTTTCGATGCCGGAGCAGGGACGTAGACAATAATGTCTCCTAAGCGACTGAGGTGTTCTGTTGTTGGATGTAATAACATAGCAGTCATCATTTACTCCCGACATCTGAGCCACAGAAGACGCAGAGGATTACATTTGTTTGTGAAGGGAATGCGCCTCCCGATTTATCATTCGTGATGCAGCTTCACCTCCAGAAGAAGTGAGTATAAGGGTTTTTTATGCATCTTTGCATATCGCCTTTCTAAATAATGTGCTAGTTAGCAAGTTTCGCGGCTAAAGTAAACAGTCTCATGAGAACGGCTGGTCACCCCATAGAAGAGAGGGGTGGGGTGAGCAGAGCTCATTAGCATTTAAAGGGACATGCAACAAAATGGGTTGATTTGTGCAGAGCTGATTTTGACAAGGTAAAAAGGGTGTTGTTTTACACTACCATTGAGAAATTTTAACCAAATTATGTTATAGACTTTTCATTCAGACCCTAAAAGAATCATATCAATTTGTGGAAAATGGGCATCCGATGACCCCTTTAAATTGATTTATCTTCTATTCAACTCAGTCAAGGTGTAATTTCCTCTATGATCAACAACTTAGCACCAGTAATGTTTTATTAAACATTATAGTAATTTTTCATGGATAATTTGTGAAAAGGGTGGGAATATATTTTCAAAGGTTCAAAAGGCCAAAAATGTGCTAAAAATATGCATTTGTTTTGGAAAAGCAGAGAAAGTGTGAATGAGGTGTTTGGGGGAACTGTTAAGCTGCAGCATTTGTGTCTATTAAAAGCAACAACCCTGTACAGTATCCCTGTCTATACTGCTTTATATGTCAGGATGATGTCAAGTAGCAGAACACAAAATGTCATATCCATCTACCCATTTATAGTGCCTAATGCACTATATTCTCAGGAGAGATGTGTATGATATTGTTGTGAACAGAACAGGTGACAATATGAAGTGGGGAGGGAATTTGTATCCAGTGGACCCACTGGAGTCACAGCATTCTTTCCTTTTATATAAATGGTAGTAATATTGGGGAGGTGCAGCAAATTTAGGGAGATGGAGGAGGGTATATAACATTTAGGGCTCCAATCCATACCAACTAACAGCAGTCAAACATTTGAATAAGGTTTCGTTTTTGTCCATTCACTTGTTGTGATTGCACCACTATGGCTTCACAAAAGCCAGTGCCCAAAAAAGAAGGAAAGCCAGCCCCAGTTGCAAAAGAAGAACCAGCTCCTGAAGCAGCAGAACCAGCGTCAACAGCCGATCCTAAACCAACAGCGCCAGCACTGGAAAAGGCTGCATCTGCCCCAAATACAACAACAGAGTCAGCTACAAAACCTCCCGAAATAGCCAGCCCTGCACCTGGAGCAGCCCCAGAACCAGCTATAGCACAGGCTTCTCCTCCAAATCCAGCTTTTAAATATGATCCTGCCGCTGCAGTAAGTCTCTGTGTTATGTTATGTTATGTTATGTTATGTTATGTTATGTTATGTTATGTTATGTTATGGTATTTCATTTTACTCAGGTGTCCGATGGCCTGGATTGATGTGCCCAAAATAATGGTTGACGTCTATATTTAAATGTGTATGTACAGTAAAAAGACTAAATTATAGATTCTAAATCCAGATTATCACTTTATTGACAAGTATTGGGTAATCAATTTCAAATGAGGCACAATGATAAAACATATTTCATATCAAAATGAAAAGTCCACATATTTAAAATGTGTACTGACACTGAAACAATTAAATAAGCTTTTAAATATGATCCTGCCGCTGCAGTAAGTCTCTGTGTTATGTTATGTTATGTTATGTTATGTTATGTTATGTTATGTTATGTTATGTTATGTTATGTTATGTTATGTTATGTTATGTTATGTTATGTTATGTTATGTTATGTTATGTTATGTTATGTTATGTTATGTTATGTTATGTTATGTTATGTTATGTTATGTTATGTTATGTTATGTTATGTTATGTTATGTTATGTTATGTTATGTTATGTTATGTTATGTTATGTTATGTTATGTTATGTTATGTTATGGTATTTCATTTTACTCAGGTGTCCGATGGCCTGGATTGATGTGCCCAAAATAATGGTTGATGTCTATATTTAAATGTGTATGTACAGTAAAAAGACTAAATTATAGATTCTAAATCCAGATTATCACTTTATTGACAAGTATTGGGTAATCAATTTCAAATGAGGCACAATGATAAAACGTTTTCAAAATGAAAAGTCCACATATTTAAAATGTGTACTGACACTGAAACAATTAAATATCCAATATTGGTCTATAAATATTCAATATGAGGCAATACAGTGGAAAAAAATCCTGGTCAATAACCAAAATGGTGCAGACACAGCACAAATCCCCAATGCAAAAGGTAACTATTTAATTTCAAATAGTTTAATTGCTGGATCATTTCTATTGATAAAACTGCACATTTTCCTAAGCGGTTGCCTGGAGATGTACTGTACAATTCACTGCTTCATGGCTGGATTCCAGTAGTTGTTCTTTTCATGGATCGACACACACCTGCTACTGAGCTATGAGGTCTTCCCACTCACCACTGTATTCATACATTTCCTAAGTTAGACTCCCCAGGGAGACAGATATGGATGATATGATCTCATAAACAGACTGTGTGCTTTGAGAGGAGATTATTCGTGGTGCCAGGAAAAATGATGGCACAACAACTGTCAGACTGTTATTAAACACAATAACCTAACATCGGTGCAGTACATGGTAGAAGATCATGAATGATCAAAAATGCATTTCATGTGTGAGTCAGCACTAAATAACTATGTTTAATTTGATATATTTTACTGATGACTGCGAATGTCTACAAAAACCTAAAAAAACAACTCTTGTTCTGGGTTTCAGGGTAATCTCAGTGCTGAACAGCTTGAAGGTAAGGAACAGCCTAAAAAGGTCATCTTATCAACTTAATTGAAAATGAACTCACTTAATGTCATTTCATGTTATACAGAGTTCAAAGAAGCTTTCCTGTTGTTTGCCAGGACTCCCTCGGGGGAGATGAAGATTTCACTAGCTCAGTGTGGAGATGTGATGAGAGCTTTGGGTCAGAACCCAACCAATGCTGAAGTTTTGAATGTTCTTGGGAAACCAATGCCTGAAGGTAGTCTCACAGATGGGGAAAATAAACTGCTGTTGTGACTTTTAGTAGAGACTCAAAGGCCTGAAATGGTTGTCAAACAAGGGAGAAATGAAACGTGCAGTGTTTGGAGCACCAGGAAAATAGTTGAGATCGACAGGTCTATAAAATAACTCAACTATTACTTTGCCAAGTCCCATTGGATCCTTCGGGAGCAAACCAAGGGAAAGACTTAACACATATGTCAGAGATTACTGAGATGTTGATTGGCACAAACGTCAAAGATATCAGTAGCAGTTCAGTTCTCTGTGACATTTGCAAGCCATTCTCTGAATATTGAGATTCAGTTAATTCTCATCATAATGGCTCACTAAATCAAAGTGCCATTCTAACCACAGGAATGCATTAGGACACCTCAACACAACATAAACAAAAAATGCTCATCGTGACAAAGCACACTAACTACTGTAAATATAACATTTACTTTTTGCAATTGTGTGCTATTGAAGCTTAAAGGCATAGTTTGCATTCATTTTCATGTTATCCCAAACCCTTTATTTCTTCCATGGAACCCAGAAGAAGAAGTGTTGTTTTCCTCCATACAATGACAGTCAATAGAGGCCATTTGAATTTTTGGTGAACTATCCCTTTAAAGAATGTTTTTTTTTCTCCGATTGTTGAAAAAATTGAATCATTTACTAAATTGGTCTGTTTAAATTGTGTGATTCAGAGATGGAATCCAAACTGATCGACTTTGAGACTTTCCTGCCTATGTTTCAACAAGTTTCAAAGTCTACTGAAAGGGGCACATTTGAAGATTTTGTGGAAGGCCTTAGGGTCTTTGACAAAGAAGGGAATGGAACAGTCATGGGGGCTGAACTCCGCCATGTGCTCGCTACTTTGGGTATGGAATCAGGGAGAGAAAATGTGCCAAATCAATATATATATATATATATATATATATATATATATATATGACCATTGGTTGTGGTCAAATATTGAAAATAATTGAGAGCTTAAAATGTATTATCAAGTTTTTTCATTTTCACATTTTCATTTTGCTCATTGGAACCCTGGCTCAATTTCAGGTGAGAGATTGTCTGAGGGTGAAGTGGATCGGTTGCTGGCAGGGCAAGAAGACACAAATGGTTGTATTAACTATGAAGGTAAGAGCAGTTACTTAAGACTTTCCTCTACTGAAAAAATTAATGACATGAAGGTTCTCATTGAAATTAATCTTGACGTTCTTTATCCAAGCTTTTATAAAACATGTCATGACTGGCTGAGGGAACTCTTCTGGTAAGTTCATCTAAACCAGGGCTTCCCAACCTTGTTTCTTTTTTTGGTCTATGATCCCTATGATTTGTTTGAAGTACCCCCTGTTGTGACATTAACCTTTCAATAAACAAAATGACTTCACAAAAATGTTGAAATAATTAAGCTAACTTAATTACATAAATTTAATTCTGCCAGTTCATAACCCCCTGACCTCGTGATCTCCTGCAGGATGGCAAACCCCTGGTTGGGAAGTCCTGATCTGAAATAGAATACATTTTGCTAGTACATTTTAAACTTTAATTTACAATACCTATATCTTTTCTGTTGGCCTAGGTACAGTAGCAGCCTCCCATGCACGTCAGCGGTGGTTAGCTGAAGGTCAAGTGTGAGAATTGTCATCTCATCAGTGATTCATGATGTCATCGATGAATCATAAATAATGTAATTTTTTTTGGGTAAAAATTGTACAACTGATTAAAATCAGTCTGTTCTTCAACCAGCACTATGAAGCTGTTTTATATCAATAAAAATCATAAGTGCAACAAAAGGAGGCAAAATGCTAATTCCAACTCTGTATTTCATGGCGCAGTAGTCGGCTGAAAAATTGAGTCTGTCCCAAGAGTGGATCAACACAGCTGTCAGCAGATAAAACTTTGACTTTGGTTTAGCTAGTGTACCCGGTTTGCTCTAATCCCCAAATGTCAGGAACTTTTACCAGGCACATATGATAAGCCCAGACTCTTTGTTACTAGACCGCTCTCAAAGGACTTTACTAAGAAAAACCTTGTGCTGTAGCCAAGTGTTACATTCTCTAAAAGGATGCAACATTGAGCTGAGCTGATTTACAGGCCCTCACACTGAACAAATGGGTTGAGTGTCCAGTCAAGTAATTATTGGAAAAATATGAATCAAGTACAAAGTTATTTGTGAGTGTGTTGTGGGGAAAATAGCAAAAATCGTGTTGTGGGTATGTTACGCCCCATCTAGGGGTAAAGGATGCAACATGAAAAGAGAGATTGGAAGCAAGGGACCTTTTTGGGAGTTTTAATGGTATAAACAAAAGGAAAATCCAGTATGCAAATATAGGGAAATTCCTGAATCGGACAAAATAACAAACAAAACTTCTTTTTAATAGCCACTTTCCTAAACCTGTAACATTGGCGGCATGACAACAGAGTTGAAGATCCAATCGCAAGGCTTTATTAAGCAGCGTGGTGAAACAAGCAGAGTCGATACCACCAAACAGTAATATCCAAGGGTTGACAGAAGAATAATCCCATACACAGGCAATGGTTAGGGCAAGCAGCAAACAATCAAAAAACAGGAAAACAGTAGTGATGTTACGTTCTGTGCCGAGGCTTCGGAGCATGTGTCGAGAAATCCCGGCAGCTTTCAGTGAAGCGCGTATCGAGGCTTGTATCGCTTTAGAGCAGGGGTGCCCAAACTCGGTCCTGGAGGGCCGGTGTCCTGCAGAGTTTAGCTCCAACCTCATCACACCTGCTGGTAAGTTTCTAGTATGCCTATAAGAGCTTGATTAGCTGGTTCAGGTGTGTTTAATTGGGGTTGGAGCTAAACTCTGCAGGACATTGTTTCTTTTTTTGGTCTATGATCCCTATGATTTGTTTGAAGTACCCCCTGTTGTGACATTAACCTTTCAATAAACAAAATGACTTCACAAAAATGTTGAAATAATTAAGCTAACTTAATTACATAAATTTAATTCTGCCAGTTCATAACCCCCTGACCTCGTGATCTCCTGCAGGATGGCAAACCCCTGGTTGGGAAGTCCTGATCTGAAATAGAATACATTTTGCTAGTACATTTTAAACTTTAATTTACAATACCTATATCTTTTCTGTTGGCCTAGGTACAGTAGCAGCCTCCCATGCACGTCAGCGGTGGTTAGCTGAAGGTCAAGTGTGAGAATTGTCATCTCATCAGTGATTCATGATGTCATCGATGAATCATAAATAATGTAATTTTTTTTGGGTAAAAATTGTACAACTGATTAAAATCAGTCTGTTCTTCAACCAGCACTATGAAGCTGTTTTATATCAATAAAAATCATAAGTGCAACAAAAGGAGGCAAAATGCTAATTCCAACTCTGTATTTCATGGCGCAGTAGTCGGCTGAAAAATTGAGTCTGTCCCAAGAGTGGATCAACACAGCTGTCAGCAGATAAAACTTTGACTTTGGTTTAGCTAGTGTACCCGGTTTGCTCTAATCCCCAAATGTCAGGAACTTTTACCAGGCACATATGATAAGCCCAGACTCTTTGTTACTAGACCGCTCTCAAAGGACTTTACTAAGAAAAACCTTGTGCTGTAGCCAAGTGTTACATTCTCTAAAAGGATGCAACATTGAGCTGAGCTGATTTACAGGCCCTCACACTGAACAAATGGGTTGAGTGTCCAGTCAAGTAATTATTGGAAAAATATGAATCAAGTACAAAGTTATTTGTGAGTGTGTTGTGGGGAAAATAGCAAAAATCGTGTTGTGGGTATGTTACGCCCCATCTAGGGGTAAAGGATGCAACATGAAAAGAGAGATTGGAAGCAAGGGACCTTTTTGGGAGTTTTAATGGTATAAACAAAAGGAAAATCCAGTATGCAAATATAGGGAAATTCCTGAATCGGACAAAATAACAAACAAAACTTCTTTTTAATAGCCACTTTCCTAAACCTGTAAGCATGACAACATGACAACAGAGTTGAAGATCCAATCGCAAGGCTTTATTAAGCAGCGTGGTGAAACAAGCAGAGTCGATACAGTAATATCGTAATATCCAAGGGTTGACAGAAGAATAATCCCATACACAGGCAATGGTTAGGGCAAGCAGCAAACAATCAAAAAACAGGAAAACAGTAGTGATGTTACGTTCTGTGCCGAGGCTTCGGAGCATGTGTCGAGAAATCCCGGCAGCTTTCAGTGAAGCGCGTATCGAGGCTTGTATCGCTTTAGAGCAGGGGTGCCCAAACTCGGTCCTGGAGGGCCGGTGTCCTGCAGAGTTTAGCTCCAACCTCATCACACCTGCTGGTAAGTTTCTAGTATGCCTATAAGAGCTTGATTAGCTGGTTCAGGTGTGTTTAATTGGGGTTGGAGCTAAACTCTGCAGGACACCGGCCCTCCAGGACTGAGTTTGGGCACCCCTGCTTTAGAGCAATGACGTCATTGATGACCTCCGAAGCCTCGCTTGGCCAGACTGGTTCAGGAAGCGGTTCGAATCTTGTAAATTCACGGTCCTCTGCCCTGTTAAACTCAGCCACTTTCCAGTTTTAGACTAATAATATTGCCCCCCCCTGCCTATTATGAGCAAAGACTTGATTTACACACATTTGATAGCCCCATTCATTTCAAGCCAATACATTTATTACATAGTTATGTTATATTATACAATCATTATATACCACTAGAAAATACACATTATATTCATATAAACAGATTAGTCTATGTGGAAATTGATTTTTTTTCTTCATTGTTATTTCTAAGCCTTAAAGGGTTAGTTCACCCAAAAATGTACATTCTGTCATTAATTACTCATCCTCATGTCGTTCCACACCCCTAAGACCTTCGTTCATCAGAACACAAATTAAGATATTTTCGATCATTTTGATCATAGCTCAGAGAGGCCTCCATTGACAGCAACGCTACCCAAACTCTCAAGATCCATAAACGTACTAAAGACGTCGTTAAAAACAGTCGACGTGACTACAGTGGTTCTACAATAATTTTATGAAGCGATGAGAATACTTTTTGTGTGCAAAAACAAAACAAAAATAACGACTTTATTTAACAACCTCTTCTCTTCTGTGTCATTCTCATATGTTGTTTACGTCCAGCGCTTCCGTGTTCTACGTCCGAACAATTATATACGACCCCACAAAATCCTGGCCAAATCACAGAGATGCCGATTCACACGGGACTAATATTGTCACAGCACCTCGGTGTTCGGCGAAATATGGTAGGTCATTTGCTGGAGAATTTTTCTTGAAGATTTTCCTGTTGACACTGTAAAGCTGCTTTGACACAATCAGTATTGTATGCGCTATATAAATAAAGATGACTTGACTAATCCCATGTGAATAGGGCTATAGTTCCACAGACTCTGAGATTCTAGTGTAGTGTAGCATTCATGTAGCGGATGCCCTGGGGGTAAGCAGATAAACATCACATTTTCATTTTTGGGTGAACTATCCCTTTAATGTGTTTATAAGACCCTGAAAAAAACACAAATGCCAGGGCATGTCAAAACTTCTTCAGGGCCCCCAAACTCCCTCAGACCCCAGAGGGTTAAAATATAATGTATACATGTTGTGGAAAAGCTGAATTTTCATCAGCCATTGCAACAGTCTTCAGTGTCACATTATCCTTCAGAAATCATTGTAAAAATCAGAATATTTTTTTCAGGATTCTTTGATGAATGAATAAATAAAGATGACTATTTTGAATAAATGCGTTTTTTAAAAAACTTTTTATTAATCAAAGAATCCTGAATAAATGATCACAGGTTCCAAAGAAACATTAAGCAGCACAACTTTTCCAGCACTGGTTATGAATCAGGCTATATTATAATGATTTCTGAAGGACCATGTGACACTGAAGACTGGAGTAATGGCTGATGAAAATTCAACTTTGTGTTACAGGAATAAATAAAAAATAAACATGCCCAGATCTATCTCTGACTCATTTGCTAAAAGTAGCTACACTTGACAACAGTACATTTTACACAAAATAGTGTGTAGCCTATGGAGGGTTGCAAAAAAGCGTTGTTTACATAAAATAAGATGTTCAGCAATGTTGTTCAACCGAACGTCTGTCGGAAGTATAGGAATATTGTGGATGCTATTTTGCACTATATGGCAATACCACAATTATAAATTAAATCATTTTATATTTTTAAAAAATAACCAGAGAAAGTAGCCTGAAATTAAGTCATGTAATATACATAAAAGCCTACTCATATTATAAACTTATTTAAACAAAGTGTTTAAAATAGTTAACAATAATCTCAACTATAACAGCTAATTTAAGTCATCCGTTTTTCATTAAAGATTGGGTTACATGAAAATAGATTATATAATTATAGTAGATTAAAATAGATAGGCTAATGATGAAAATAGATGAAAATCAAACCGGCATGCACTGCGTCGAGGAAATCGCCGATTGGTCTGTGTAGTAGATAAATAGGCCCTGCTGTCTGCATGCACAAGTTTGGCCTTACTTGGGTTGTTTGCGCCGGAGGTCAATGGGGCTTGGTTTTTTTATAGATTTTTTATTTGTTTCTGGCTTCATGACATGTCATTATCATGCACGGACCTGGAATTACGTGGAACAGGCGTTTAAAGATGATGGCGTTACTGATAAATTGGGAATTTGTAATATTGACATTAGCCCATCTTAACAAAGACGTTACAACTCGATCAAATGAGTCGCTCAAAGCACAGCAGTCTCCCGCGGACTTGGAGAGGCTGTATTTGAGAGCCGCTGACGCTCACGAAGTTGACTGTGAACGGTATGTCAACACTTCAGCGTTTTCAAGTGATCCAGCGGACGACGCGACGATCCAATCCACTTTCAAATGCCGTGCATGTGAGGACCGCAGTCTGGTTAATAATGCGGACCAAAACGGAGCGAATCCCTCGCAAAATGGCGAATTTGAGGAGATTCTCAGAGGACCTGTGACTTGGCGATTCTTGAGTAAGTTAAGCTGCTTGTAAGATTATTGGTGGTTTAAAATAATTTGTTTTACTGACTTGTCATAAAATCCGCTTATTCGTCCATCAAGGAGATCAACAGAATTCGAATGGAGTCGTGGTGTCTGACGACTCTCGGCCTGTGTTCACTTGCGGCAAGAAACGCCTTTGGATCAAGTTTTCCACGACGCGGCATTCAAATCCACGCTTGATTATCAGTGAGTACTCCTGAATATTTACTCTGAGTTATAAAGAGGCGAAGGGAAATCGATTTTAGATTTGTTCACAAAGTATGACGTTTTTATTTGTTTGACCCTAGAAACTGGGAGAAGATCCAATGTTTCAGATCCGCGCCACGTGCGTCGGGTTTTAAAGGGGTCATATGATGCGATTTCAATTTTTCTTCTCTTTGGAGTGTTACAAGCTCTTGGTGCATAAAGAAGATATGTAAAGTTGCAAAGACTAAAGTCTCAAATCCAAAGAGATATTCTTTATAAAAGTTAAGAGTCAGCCACGCCTATCTAAAATGTCTGGTTCTAACACGCCCCCACATGTCTACCTCACTATGTGGGAAGATTTGCATAACGCCGCCCAAACGTTCACGCAAAGGCGGCGTAACTTTAGTCTTGCTGTAGTATTGTTGACGCTGCAGCTATGTCCTGAAGACGCTGTGTGTTTCGTTGTGAAAGTGAAACTACTTGGTTTGGCCTTCCAAAAGAGGACGATATCCGCTTCGTCATACCTGGAGCTGATCTGTGCTGGTCGCTGAGGGAATACATCAACTTTCACCGTGGATGAAGCGGAATCCAGCCCGTGGTCCGTCACATGTGGTTGCCGCTCATTCGTCGGATCTCGACCCCGCCGCCTCGGCTCCCGTTAAGCCGGGCCCCTCACGCTAGGCCGCTGTGTTTTTCGTTGTGAAAGCGAAACTACTTTGTATGGTCTTCCAAAAGAGGACACGACTACAAATCAGTGGTATTTACAACACTGTTCCAGAACAGTTTAACCCAAATATCCAGATGTGTGCAGCGCATTTTATGGAGGACTGTTTACTGATCCTGGGAGAGTAACGTTAGACTAAAATGCCGGCAGTTCTGACTCGCGTAAGTACGTTTTCAATTAAATGATTTGCCACTGATGATTCAAAAGCGAGTTTTGGGCAGTGTAGAGTAGCACTTGTTGTTTGTCATTTCTCTGATCACAAATGCAGACAGAGTTTTAAGTTTACGAGGCGCGATGCAACGTGTAAAAAGACCGTACAAGTCATTATAATCAATAATTATGTCCCCACTGGATGCAACCACTGCCTAGTTTGTAATGGGTTTTAATATTTATGTCTCGTCGCTCCGGCCGGGACACGGAATCAACCGTATGTGAGGGGCGTAACATTTCTCTCACACACTTGAGGTATTCGGCCAATCATATGACCCCTTTAAAGAGGCCACACTGCTTTTAGAGTGAAACCTGCTGCAGTCTGTGTAATTGATGGAAATCAAAGAACAAAAGAAAAATTCAATTTAGTTTTTGCATATACTATTTATAGCTTATGTGAAATAGTTTTAAAGGGGTCATATGATGCGATTTCAATTTTTCCTTTCTCTTTGGAGTGTTACAAGCTCTTGGTGCATAAAGATCTGTAAAGTTGCAAAGACTAAAGTCTCAAATCCAAAGAGATATTCTTTATAAAAGTTAAGTCAACCACTCCCACCTAAAATCACTCGATGTGGAAATATCAACATTCTGTTATACCAAATACACAAAATAATGATCTTTAAAATAGCATCATATGACCCCTTTAAGTTCACTTAAAAGCTGTTGTTTTTCATAACTTATTCAATTAAAAAAAAAAAAAAGGCTTTCAGTTATACTGTCATGTTGAATAGCTAAAGTTGAGGAGGAAAATGCTTTTAGTAGAGACATCAGTAGTAGTGCTTTCAATCGATTAAAAAAAACTAATCACTTTTTTTTTTCCTGAAATTAATCACTGTTAATCCCACCTAACTTTTAAAGTTTTTAAATATACTTTTATATTGCAATAATTTCACATTCAATCTTCAATTTAATTTAGAAAAAACAAAGAGTATATTTTTAATATCTGTTTAATTGCATCTTTTTAAAAAAAAATGTTATGATTGAAGCGAGTATCACTGATTCAATACTACTGATGTCTCTAGGAAATTGTTCTTTCCCCCCCCCCCCCCCCCCCCCAATTAATCCTTTACTATCTCTCTTCTCTCTTTATTACTAAATCCAAGTTTTTAAATATACTTTTATATTGCAATAATTTCACATTCAATCTTCAATTTAATTTAGAAAAAACAAAGAGTATATTTTTAATATCTGTTTAATTGCATCTTTTTAAAAAAAAATGTTATGATTGAAGCGAGTATCACTGATTCAATACTACTGATGTCTCTAGGAAATTGTTCTTTCCCCCCCCCACCCCCCCTATTATTTAATCATTGACTATAGCCTTTCAACATTACAGTATAATTGAGAGCTATTAATTCCAATGTATTGTTTCACTTATGTTTTCATTCTCAGCTGTTTACGTTCACTTAAGACATAACTTATGAGGGTTTACATGAATAATCACTAGCGATGCACAGATTATAATTTTCTTGGCTGATTCCGATTTTTTTGGAAGTGTGACCTGCCGATACCGATTTTTGCCGATTCTGATTTTCTCTCTAAGAACTATAATTGACAACATATACAAACAAAAATCTATGCAAATTTCAATGCAAAAATTATTTACATAAAAGAGATTATTAAACAGACTGCAGCAGTGTTCATATGAGCGCTCCCGATAAAATTATTTAGGCTAAGCATCAGCCTGATGTCATGACTGTCGTGACTGTTGTAAATGCGTAGAATTTTGAAGTATCGGCAAATATCGTATCGTTGGGTATAAGAATCGATATCGTATCGTGACGAACCATCCGATTTACACCCCTATTAGTTAATAGGCTACATTAACTAACTAATGGAACCTTATTGTATAGTGTTACCTTATTATTAAATATCAAAATATAATTTTTATTCATTTCCATGCAACAGAATCAGATGTGCAGTGATGAGGAGAGTGAAACCTGCACACTGAGCACTACTGGGCGGTGCGGCGCGTCCGATGATATGATATTTTGGGCTGTTTTTCTTTTTCGGCCATTTTTATTTTTTTGGCCAATAATTTTCGCCGGATGAATAAATTTCCAAAATGAACAATAATGGTTATTGCAGAACAGTTAGATATAGAGTGCAACAGTAAGGTTCCGGAAGTAAAAATGGCATTAATTTTCTCCTAAAAGAAATGTTTTTTTTGTTTTTTTTAAAAGACAGGCCTGTTGTGAGGTCCGTGGTTGTAATAGTGTGTACTAGGGCTGGGTGATATGGCCAAAAAATTAATTTTTCATATCAGTAAATATCTATAATTATCCTGATAAATGTTAAATCTTTTTGTTCAAGTTTAAAGGCAGATTTTTGCTCTCAGAATTGGTTTTAAACTATTCTTTATGGTCAGAACATGACAAACACTACTTTTTACTAGTCATTTTTCCTTAAATATTTTACTAGAAAAAAAATATTTCTTAGTTTCTGCATGTTCTAATGAGTGATATTGCTTCAAGTCATGAAACAGGTTGGTGTTGCGTGACTTTGACATGTATCTTCAGCCCGGTTTGCAGTGCAGGCTGCAATATTAATGTGACCTGTGCTGGCAAAATGAGTCGCAATGAGCAAATTTTCTAAAGTTAGTTATTTTCCATTTTCATTAAAAGACTACATCAGTTTAAAGCCTGGCGCACACTGTACGATTTTGGCCACGATTTTGTCGTCTGAGACAAATTGACAATCCTAAAAGATTCCTATAATCCTAGGCTAAAATCTGTAGTCTTTGATCGTTAGTTTGACAGCCGATTAATGGCCGTTGCGATCAAATTTGACCTCCGACGAAATTCTGGCAGTGTCAGAAGATTTGACGCACAGTCCTGCAGTGTGACTTCTATGACGGACGTCAAACTGTCTTCGTTTTTCAAGACAAGCCATGATCAGAATTAATGCTAGAAATTTCTTCTAACCGCATAAACTCGTCCTCCGCTCACGGAATTCATATAATATGTTGCCTTTGCTATGATAAACACAGCTGCTGTTTTCATGTGGGTGTGTAGTGTTGCTTACACTATTCTTAAATATGCCGGTATTGCCGCCATTCATATATTTTTAATGATGGCCAAAATTACAGCCCCACGTGCAATGCAGCTCGCAGGCACTGAACGTGTATGGGTTGATAATGTAGAACTCCGGACAAGTTTTCTTGCGCGCACCAATTTTTAACACCGTGACCGTATGTGTATGCATCAGGATTGCACGCTGGTGGAAGCACCTTTGTGTGCGATTCATATGAGAAGTGAGCAGAGAAAAGTTACTCTTCAGAAAACGTACAAATATAATTTTAGATGTTTAATTGCTGTTTGAAGCATTGGAATTGCTAGACGGGGACTTAATGACCTAATTTCTACGAAAACCCGAAATTCGACCAAAATGACTTTTTTTTTTGTTTGTTTTTTACAATTTTTCTCTCAACATTAGCCTGTGTGCATTCCGACTCATTTTGCCAGCACAGGCCACACATTACTGTAGGGCTGGGTGATATGGCCAAAAAATTAATTTTTCATATCAGTAAATATCTATAATTATCCTGATAAATGTTAAATCTTTTTGTTCAAGTTTAAAGGCAGATTTTTGCTCTCAGAATTGGTTTTAAACTATTCTTTATGGTCAGAACATGACAAACACTACTTTTTACTAGTCATTTTTCCTTAAATATTTTACTAGAAAAAAAATATTTCTTAGTTTCTGCATGTTCTAATGAGTGATATTGCTTCAAGTCATGAAACAGGTTGGTGTTGCGTGACTTTGACATGTATCTTCAGCCCAGTTTGCAGTGCAGGCTGCAATATTAATGTGACCTGTGCTGGCAAAATGAGTCGCAATGAGCAAATTTTCTAAAGTTAGTTATTTTCCATTTTCATTAAAAGACTACATCAGTTTAAAGCCTGGCGCACACTGTACGATTTTGGCCACGATTTTGTCGTCTGAGACAAATTGACAATCCTAAAAGATTCCTATAATCCTAGGCTAAAATCTGTAGTCTTTGATCGTTAGTTTGACAGCCGATTAATGGCCGTTGCGATCAAATTTGACCTCCGACGAAATTCTG